TTTCAACGAAGCATTGGTTGTCACGCTACGGCCCCTGCAACAGGAAACCTGCATCGCTCTGAAAGATCATGAAAGCCAACCTATCGGCGTAATCTCAGTGAAAATCAACGGTATTCTGTTCCAGTGCAGAAGAAATGTGGAATTTTTCACACGAGATCATCAACTTGTATCCGAATCTGTGCACAGATGCTACTCGGCAGGAACATGCGATAGAAGTACGTGTGAGAATATGTCACCAACCGAGAAAAGCAAAGAATTTTCATTCGAGGCGAATAATAACCCTGGATACACTTTTTGCACACCAAGCTGCGGATGTCTAACATGCGACGGTTGCTGCCCTCTCCCTGCTCGCGAAAAAACAATTGCACGACTTTCTCACTAGCAGCTTATCACTGCAGTCGCCGCAGCTCGCGACTCTATACCATTCTCTGACATCCCAAGCTGGACAAATTCCGTATGTCATCATGGAACAAGCACAACAACCACGGGCTCAACCGCCCCCGGGCAGCTCGGCAAAAACGACCTATCAACACAATTTCAACTTCGAGCCCAGGGTCAAATTTCCGCATGGAACAATCTCAAGTTCAGTCTCATAGGGACAGTCGTCCCCCAACTACCAATATTGTCGTCGACATTCGCGGAAACCGACTACTCCATCTCAGTGATCAAGCCTGCTCATCGAGGACAACTTTCACCTCACAGTGCGGGACAGCTTCAGTGTTCAACGAAGGAACACGCCGACACGTTTAACTGCTCGTTCGCAATCAACGCCTGTCAGTACACTCCCCCCCCCCGCCATCTGGTTTCGAAAAACTTTAAGATCTTTTCAGAAGATAAGAAAGTGTATGCCAGAACGAACATTGGATCTGCTCTACAACTACATGTAGTGGCCGAAAACATGAAAATAACAGCTCGCCAATCCAACAGTACCTGTACGATAGAGGCAAGTGACCTTGTTGGTTGCTACAACTGTATTGCAGGAGCGGAACTAACTCTCTACTGTCAATCGAGCGGAACTGAAACAACCGCTAATATCGAGTGCCCTTCTCAAACACAAATGGCGCTTTGCACTTCATCGGGATACCTCAACATTCTCAAATTCCACTTCGACACTTCATCTGTCTCCATGATTTGCAATGCTTCCTGTCCCGGAGGAACTGTTTCCTTGGCAGTGAAGGGAGTACTTCTCTACGTTGACGACGACCTCATCAGAGACAACTTGCAATCGGAGGCAAAGACAAGAGATCTTCCAAGAGATACCACATTTTTGAGTCAAATACCCAACAAGTTCAAAGAATTTGTCGGTAGAATTCCAGATCTGCTTCCAATTAACTTCCTTACAAAAGCTATACTTTCCTTTCTATTGACTGTGCTTGTGATGATTATGATAATCCGATGTATTAGTCGCTCTCTCATGCTCGCTATGACTCCAAAATTTTCCAAGAAGCATCATTAACACTGTTTTCGCTTCGCTGTGGGAGTTTTCTGCAGTTTTGCAGAATAAGGGTACGAAATTCTAAAAATCTTCTGAATCATCCAAAGCCATAAAAGATTTTCCTGATGAATCAGATTTTAATATTCTCACATTCTTCTTCTATGAAGCATAAAAAAGCTTAATCATCATCTTTTAAGGAATGCCATATTTTGACTAGCTTCGAGAATATTAGTTTTGTGCTTGGTATATAAACCCGCCGTGTAGGAGAACGATGGATTTCCCCTACAAGTCTATGTCAAGACAATAAAGCTTCGTCGAAGTCTCTACGTCCACACAGGGCGGCCAAATAAAGGATAAAAGGATAAAGCATTTGCCGTTGATCAATCCCTTTTGGGATGCGGCACGCATTCTACTTCCATTTGTACATTCGTAGTGGCGTTTGAATGCGATGTGGCCTATACAATGACTTGCGGGGGCCAGCCGATACAAGTCAGTGTTTTTATCCTCCCAGACAAGTCTGGTACCAATTAACCGACCCCGGAGGGATGGAAGGCTTGGTTGGCCCGGGCGACTCACGACCCAGGATTTGATCCCCGGACCGCTCGCGTGGTAAGCGTGCCACTTGCCACTACACCACTTCCGCCTTTATGCACAAAATAAATAAATAAATAAATATCGCAACTGGAGTCTTCCACAACGCCTTCACTGCTAACAACTCAGGTCTACTTCACAACGATTATCCGGATATGTCTGAAGGATAACGATCCACATCGTCCCAGGTCAACTTATACATTTAATTTTCGTTGGACGCCATAAATCACCTGTTTAAGGGAATCGGCTGCATTTGATGGCGCGTTGTCATGAATAAAAATGAAGTCCACGAAGATTCTCACTTATAAACGACAGCAAATGATCACCAAGAAGTTTCCGATACTAGCTAGAGTCCGTTTCACGCGATACAAGAGCAAAGGAGAGTACAACACAACTGCAGCCCGCCACATCTGAAATCAGCTACCGAAGCTTCCTTCTAGCTGAAGACCAGTAGGTCTTTTCTGGGGTCCCTCCATCAGCTGTGACATCCATACTACACCTTGAATTGAACTTATTACTATCGGAAAGAACAACCGAAACTCGAAAGAGCCTTAACTAGTCACCCTAATAAAGGTGCCTCCCTATTCTGTAGCACCACCTGTTGAATCCCATTCTGATCTTCTATCGACGAGTGAGGCTTACTGTTTCGTTGAAACTTAACTCATACAAAGGGATTTCATAGACTCTTCAACACAATGAATTGGAGTTGAGCTGGCAGTTCGCTAGTAATATTAGACGGAATGCGAAAATCCACACGAGTCTGGTTGACTGGTGTGGTAGAAATGGAAAAACGACTACCGGAGACGAAGTAATTCGTATTCACAAATGACGCTTTAGCCTTCCAAAGATTCTCTTCCATGGAAAGGCTTGATTTTCCTTGAAAAATTGTAAATACGACCAGGAGATTCGCCACGTTGAGCAGTTCTGATGCAGTTGAAGCTCCCCTCCCCCAAACTAGTTTTCATGTATGCTCAAATCGTTCAAAGCACCTTGAAGAGGTAATGGTTGTGCTTTCATCAAACATACCCAATACATACTGAATCCCGACTGAAATGAAAGGAAGGGAATTTTCACCCTTAGGTTCTCTTGCCCAAGGTGCTGATATGTAAATACTTCCGAAACAGGGAGCTTTTGCAAATTTTCTTATGAAAGTGTTTCTTGGAGATATTGTGTGCCGAAATGAAGTGGGCTGTGGTTTTGGTGTATGATAAATCAATGAAGTAGGTAACAAGCCGTGGATCCATCATTATCCTAACCCAGAACATCGCTTTTTCGGGTAGCCCCTATACTTTTAAAACGCACTGCATATTTTCACCTGTTTCTTTCATAAAACTTAGGACGTTTACCCTAGATCAAGCCCTTACAATGGCCGAGCGAGACCTCCAAATCGATAGATTCGCTAGCGATTGCGAACGTTCGGCTGCCTAGCAATTCGAGGGTACGAAAGATGCCGCAACGAATCAGCGACTAAATTTGCCAGTGCATTTTTCGAAACCCCCTCCCCCCCCAAATCGCACGAATCTACGGATTCGTAAGGTCTGACACAGGTCAAGGTAGAAGATTGTGCTGAAGGGTAGGGAGAGGGAGTGTGAAGTGGGGTTCAGCTCATCTGTGTGGTAGTGCGTCACTTTCCACCACTCCATCATGTATTGTTCAATAGGAAACTGTCTACAGTCCATCCAAAAATCTTATAGGATAAAGCGCATGTTCTAGTTTGCACCATCACTCATTTACTTTTGTGTTACAGCAGGTCGAGTTTTTATTTTGATGACTTTCGTCCATCGCTCGCTTTCGCACGCAGTAACATCAAACAGCGTTCCCACAGTTTCTTCGATTTCAACTCTTTATTCTCCATAAAGGGAAATGTTATACCATGTGTGAGCGAGAAATCCACTATGAATGTGAATTATTATTCGCGAACGTTCCTTCTATTCTTTTTATGTGACCACAAAACAGAATTCATCACCCAAATTAATTTACATGGGAGTTTTTCGTGCTTCCCAACACGAAATGGTAGGTATTGCGTTGGTGCATAATAACGTAGCGTTTTTTTTTCTCGAGCTACAAACTCAGTGAATACAAGTACTACCAAGGAAATCACATATATCATTTGAAAGTACTTCTTCCGCTCTACAAAACCTTGTTTGTTATTTTCTTCTATATTGTAAATGTACTCAGATATGGTGCTTAGAAGTTGGAAACTCAAGGTGGGCGAAAATCTATATAAAGAAAAAAGCTGCCAAAATGGGAGTTTTTCGGGATCTATCGTCATCATCGAAACTTACTCCGATCGACCCTCAATCACAAATCATATTTACGTCGTACATATTGAGAATGATGAGGACTCTGAAAACGGGCTCAGTACCCTTTTTTAAATTCTGGACCCGGCAATCTTTCGCGAAATGGGATCAAAGTCGTATATAATGACGAGAAGAACATCACTGATTAGTTTCTGCTTTGGCTTTGATACGAGTTTTTGCCGAATGCGAGCGCTACGATATTATGCACCATCCCAATATATACAGGGGAAGGCCAAAAAAGGAGGCTCAAGTTCACATTAAGACGGAATTAGTTCCACTTTGCCAAATCCAAACTGAATGGGCCCAACTGGAAACTATAAAAAAAAACATTTCAGTCAATCATGAAACTACAGCAGCCTCTTGCACCGACGACAACAGAAGATTTTCCCGTGCAAAACGAAAACATGGTGCAGTGGCGCACTTCATCAAGCTTATTTTCGCACAGGGTGCCACAGTTGATGAAAATTTGGGTTACACAGGCTTCTGTCAACCAAAGGGTGAGAGCGTAGCTGGAAAAGCACACACTTTGTGTCTTATTGGGACTAAGCCTTTTGAAGAAGATAAAGAAAGAGGAGATGCTGTGATAGTGTGCACTTGTGAGAGCTCCCAGACATCACTACAAAACGCTGAACCGCCAAGGCTCACGGTTGACAGATGTCCTGAGACCGATGATTTACAGCAAAATTCCCTAGATGTGCCCCCATAAGCAGAAGCAGCAGGCCCTTCTTCATCTCTCCACCCCCTCCCTTCCCAGAATACGACGTCATCTGCCATCATCGTCGAGCTCCAGGAGGCCTACCGTAATCGCTACAGCATAATTTCTTCAATCGGTTAAGTGGTGAATAGCTTCCCAGAGACACTAGCTGTGACTGTGCAAGACCGCTTTTGACCAGCGTTTCAGGGACGTCGTAATGGTCTATGGTACCTCGACGACCTCGTTGAGCTCGTACCGTGAACCATGTTTCCGTGGGAAAATCTTCTGATGTCGTCGGTGTAGAAGGCTGCTGTAGTTTCATTGATTGACTGAAATGTTTTTTTATAGTTTCCAGTTGGGCCCATTCAGTTTGGATTTGGCAAAGTGGAACTAATTCCGTCTTAATGTGAACTTGAGCCTCCTTTTTTGGCCTTCCCCTGTATATATTGGGATGGTGCATAATATCGTAGCGCTCGCATTCGGCAAAAACGTTCAAAGCAAAACCCAAAAGCAAAGCCAAGCATAAAACTAATCAGTGATGTTCTTCTCGTCATTATTTACGACTTTGATTCCATTTCGCAAGAAATTACCGGGTTTAGAATTCAAAAAAGGGTACTGAGCCCGTTTTCAGAGTCCTCATTATTCTCAATATGTACGACGTGAATATGATTTGAAATTGAGGGTCGACGGAGTAAGGTTCGATGATGACGATGGATTCCGAAAAACTCCTATTTTGGCAGCTTTTTTCTTTATATAGATTTTCGCCCACCTTGATTTCCAACTTCTAAGCACCATCTGAGTACACTTACAATATAGAAGAAAATGCAAACAAGGTATTGTAGAGCGGAAGAAGTACTTTCAAATGATATATGTGATTTCCTTGGTAGTACTTGTATTCACTGAATTTGTAGCTCGAGAAAAAAAAAACGCTACGTTATTATGCACCAACGCAATACCTACCATTTCGTGTTGGGAAGCACGAAAAACTCCCATGTAAATTAATTTGGGTGATGAATTCTGTTTTGTGGTCACATAAAAAGAATAGAAGGAACGTTCGCGAATAATAATTCACATTCATAGTGGATTTCTCGCTCACACATGGTATAACATTTCCCTTTATGGAGAATAAAGAGTTGAAATCGAAGAAACTGTGGGAACGCTGTTTGATGTTACTGCGTGCGAAAGCGAGCGATGGACGAAAGTCATCAAAATAAAAACTCGACCTGCTGTAACACAAAAGTAAATGAGTGATGGTGCAAACTAGAACATGCGCTTTATCCTATA